CATGGAGAATCATTGACAGTCACAAAACTATCTGTCTCATAATAGCGACACACAATATAGTTCTAAATGGTGGTATACAAACACATATATTAAAAAGAAAATGAGAAGTATTATTTTCTTTAAAGGTGTGCATTAGTAATAAGAAGGTATATTGCACTGCTTTTCTACAGTCTATTTAAATTAAAAGGAATTATCAGTCTCACAAATAAGAGGTGAAAGTCACAAAGGATTATTAGGTAGATTCTTTTTTTCCACAACTGTTTGCGTACAAGTAAATTCGCAATAGCTTAAAATAATAAAAGTCAAAGATCCATTCATACTGGTTGTAAAAACTCGGTATATGCCTTTGAAGTCTATTTCAAGGAAATGATAGGCATGCATGATATTCTCACTCTGATATTCTTCTTTCCTAAAAAGCAATAAGAGATTCAATTTAATTCTCTTGGCAAATCTTCATAATAATACCAGTTTAAAATAACATGTCACAAATGTGGCAAGAAAAAAAGTGAAAAATTTTGTTACCCATATCATAAATTTATTATATCAGAGAGATCACCAACCCAGAAACTGTAATCCATGATTCACCCAACACCCAAAAATTCACAATAACAGCCAAATTGTTTGCTGAATTGTTAAACTAATTAAGTAATGCAAAAAGTTTTCAATGAAAACTTCCTCAGTTATGTTTCTTGAGGAAAACATCAATTTTGATAAGGTAAAATTCAAACTTACATGTAACTGCAAATACTTCATTATCAAATGATCGTGTGAATGCATACAATCAGAGTTTCCAACCGAGACTTAAAGTAAGCTCCATCGGAGTTCTCAACTAACACTTAGAGTAAGCCTCATCAGAAAATCTGTAAGACTGAAAGAAAAACATTCCGAGGTTGGTGTATCTTGTTGAGCATGGAGATGCATTACGAATCCAAATTTCTTTCTTATGGTGTGAAAAAAAGGAGATGAAGCAACATTTGACTCCTCTCTCTATCTAGACGATTACTCTTTGGTCAAAGAGTACTGAAGTAACATCAACTAAAATACACTCATTTCAAAAGAACTAATGTGATCATAAGAAGCAGAATATTTCAAAAACATGCTCATCTACAATTACAAAATTTGGATCAATCGATAGAAGCTTTTATTAAAGATAGTAACAGAGAAAAGTACATGGAAGAATTGGAGGGAGATGGTGGAAACAGAAAATTACCTTTCTAATCAATAGAAACGAAAAAATAAAATTAAAAAAGAAGTTAAAAGCAAATGAAATTACTACTATAATCTTTTTGTTCATCGTTTCTACCCCCAATCTTCCAACTACATTTTACGCATAGCAAACCTTCCGAAACTCTACCTCTTACTCTATTAAAGACATTAGCCACGAATTCTAGCAATTAAATTTGGAAGACTGAAGAGAAATTAGAAGTGGGCAAAAATTGAGACAACTCATACCTGAATTAGAACAGACCAGCCGAGAAGATGTAAAGAACTGGAAAAAAGAAGTAGTCTTTGAAAATCTGAAGAAAAATAAAGAGATTATGCAAAAGGAATATTTTAATAATGAAAGAGAGAAACAAAAGGAAGGAGATGAACAGATCAACAAGAACATAGTAGAAAAACAATAATGAATTTCAGCCATGAAATTGAGAAATTTGAAAAGTACTGGAAGAAGATTAAAGCAAAAATTGAGAGAAAAGATTACCTGAACTTGAAAGACCATGAAGAGAAATCAAATGAAACAACCAAGGGTTTCTTATTCTCATAAGACAAATTCTTCTAGAATTGTGTCTGTATGTGCTGAACCACATTATTATTACTTTGGGGAACTAAAAATAAGAGATTTGCTCTTGATCAACTAATAGAAATAGAAATAGAAAAAATAAAATAAACTGTCAAGGTAAAATAGCAATTTTGCCCTTGGTTGACCAACTTCTCTTTTCTATATAATAGAAATAGAAAAATTTAGTTCCAGTTCTACATATTCAACTTTTCAGGTTTAGCAAGAATACATAGCTTTTGAAGATCTAAGAGCTTTTTTAAAAAGAAAAAGCTATTTTTAGTTTCATTTTAATAGACAGAAGACAATCTTCTTTCTTTCTTGCGCTCAAAGTACATGTTGTTATATTCCTTTAATCAATAAAATATATATGAACTTGTTACATTCCATGTTTTCGTACGTAAAAGTGCACCATAAATAAATGAATGAAAGCTCGAAAATGAGATATTAATTCCGCATTTTCAAACGGTAAAGTTTCGTCGAAAGTTAATCGACGTAAGTTCGGGAATAAGATTATTTTGAGATTATAAGCATTATGCTATTTCAAACAAGTGATGAGTAACTCACGAAAGAGAGAGGGTAAGCAAATCGAAGAAAATGAATTTCGTCGAAGTTTGGCATATTGGGATAAACTACGGCCCGAGCTAAAATACCCGGTAGTTATGGACTAGTGCCATACAAGGTACCACATGACCATGATAGTAAGGTGTATAAGGTATGTAAAAAGCGAGTAGTATTTTAAGTAAGTGGAAATAGTTCTTAATTATGTGGGTAATTAGTTAATTATTGAATAATGAGATATTACTTAGTTAATTAATATCTGGTGGTGGATCAATTGAACTCTTGGATAAGATTAGCATGCCAAAACGTGGCAGCACCCTCTTTTTAATTTAAAATGACTCATAAGTCATTACTAATAGGTGGCATGATTTAGAGATATGGGAACATGAGTCACCTTATTTATTCAAGAAAAGAGATTCTGTTTAAGATCTTTACAATTCAATTACAAACGTTATTCAGAAACTTTACAAATCAAGCTTACATAGAAACCTTACAATCCAATAAACTTTACAATTCAAGCCCAACGTTAGTTCACTTCCCAAATAGCAACGTTGCTGCTCAGTGCTTAAAGAAAAGTTTCGGCCAAGATTTTCTTTGCATAGCAACGTGATTGCTTCGAGCTTTTCATACGACTTGTTCCGTATTTTATCGCAATTGACGTGTGTTAGAAGGATTGTCAAGAGAATCGGCTAAGGTATGTTAAGGCTATCCCTTCTTTCTTTTTGGCATGATCTATACGACACGAACGAAACGAGCAAATGCACAACTTCCATAAATGACTCTATTCATAAAAATACTAGAGATGCTTATGTTCTTGATTCCCCATGTGTCATGTTATTCTATCATCTGTTCATGGGTCTCAAAAAAATACGTAAGTTGAAAAAGTTTACTTCATAATATTATTCAAAGTCATAATATTCTTATGACGTACCGAGAGATTTTATTAACTCCAATTAGTTAGACTGGGTCCTGCTAAAGGATAAATCTGAGCGCATGCTTATTATTCAAACGCATTCTTCCTCTGAAAAGGACTTATTCAACATAGTTGTGGCATTTTTAATTCGTTAGATGGAGTCTAGAAATTCCATTGTGAATGTACTGTTTTCTTGGTTAGGCATGTTTAGCAATATACTGTTTGTCCATTTCCAGAGCGAGAATCTCTTTTCCATTTAAGGACAAAATACCACATATATAGGAGCTCAATATGCATTTCATGCATTTATACGTGCACATTGACCAATGACTAGACGACGTTATATGCGCGTATAAATATATATGTATATGGGATATGGGAAAGGTTATGGCGCTACATACGCATCACCACCTGATCAGCTGGTATACGTTGATGATTTTGCCCACAGTGGCCGAGATGATATGATGGGATGCCCTCAGAGGCTTGATGATGTTATGAACACATGTACCCATGCACGACATGACATTCATATGCATATGCATGACACTGTAGGTATTTCATGATTTACAGAGTTATCCAGACTTACAGGTTGAGTCATTTACTCTATATTTCTTCCATGTCTTTTATGTACTTATTTATGTGCCTTACATACTCGGTACGTTATTCTCGATAGACAGGTCGAGAGTCCTCCAAGTAGGCGATCAGCTTAGCGAAAGATGTTGGTGTACTCCATTTACTCTGGAGTTGCTTGATTGGTCAGTATGATTTAGATGTGTATTGTTTGGTATGGCGGGGCTCTGTCCCGGCCTTTATGATAATTATGTATCCTTAAAGGCTTGTAGACAGATGTCATGTACGTAAACGATTGTATGGCCTTATCGGCCTATGTTCAGTGTACGAATGGTTATTTTGGTCTTAGAGACCCATATGTCTTATGTATAAGTTGGCATTACGTATTGTATTCTACCTACTTCACAGCAACCTCTACGGCTTAGTTATCTATGATAGTATGATACAGAAAGATACGTTATGTTATTATTCGGTTAAGTTACCGAGTACCCGTCGCGGCCCATTGGTTTGGGTCGTGACAGAACTATTATAAATGCCTTAGAGCAAAATATTAGTAAACCTTTTTAGCATTTAAAAATAAATTTCAAATAGGACAAAATTAACAATTAATTATTTTTCCTAATATTTATAACATTGAAATCAATTTAAATATTATGATCAAAGTATTAGCTTAATTATCTATTTTTATTTGCTACGTAACGAATCATAATATATATGGTTGTTAAGACAAAAGCAATATTCATAAGATATTCTAATTTCAAATTACTAATAGATTTTCTTTTGTGTACATTAATTTAATTTTTCACTTAAATAAATATTATTAGATACGATCATGAGTAAATGAATATAATTTATTATGTGCGTGTCAATTTCATGATCAATATTTATTATTTTCAAAAACACAAATTTTTACTTAATATTTATTTGCGACTAAAATCATACTTTGAATGTTATTTATATATTTTTTTTAAAAATTATTCTCATCAATATAGGATACATGCGCAACTCGCATAACCAACACTAGTAAATTTGAAAAGATCAAAGATGATACCTCAAAAGAAATGAATGAAAGTAGTGTAGAAAGCCGAAATAAGTTATTGGGTTGATTGACCTTAGTCAAAATAAAAAATTGTCATTAAAGTCGTCCTCCTTTTATTTTACACCATTAAAGTTGACCTCTGTCACTGCAGATTAACTCACTCATAATCTTCTAGCTATCACCTCCCCTAAACTATGCCACGTGTCTACCACAACCTCAACGCCTGTACGTTTATCAAACCCTAAATTCCCCTCTCCGACCTATATATTTTCCCCTTTCTCACCATTTCCCTTCTCTCTTCTTCCCCTTGCACTCAATTCTGCTCTCACTCTTGTCAGGTATGTACAGGCATAACTATTGAAATTTCCAGAATCAAATCCTCCGAATTCACCAAAACCTATGCCTTTTTTTCCACTTAATTCACAATAATGTGGTTCCCCCGTACCTCAGTTGAACTATTTTGAATCATTGAAATAGTGCCTCGTATTTATCGTATAATAGTAACCGGGTCGCATATCGGGTTATCCATTATCAATGGAGGAGCCACTGAAGAGATACGGTGTGGGATACGCGCTGGCTCCAAAGAAACGAGCCAGTTTCATTCAACTATCCCTCGTCAACCTCGCGAAGGAACGAGGAATCGATCTCATCAAAATCGATGCAGATAAGCCGTTGATTGATCAAGGACCGTTCGATTGCGTGCTCCACAAACTCTACGGCGATGATTGGAAGCGTCAGTTGAAGGACTACGCTTCCCAAAACCCTCACGCGCTCATAATCGACTCGCCGGAATCGATTGAGCGGTTGCACAATCGGATTTCGATGCTTCAGGTTGTGACGGAGCTCGAGATCGATGGCCAAATGGCGTCGTTTGGGATTCCTAAGCAGACTGTAATATACGATGCGAAAATGGTGTCGGCTTTATACCTTGAAAATGAAGGGTTGAAATTTCCTGTGATTGCAAAACCATTAGTCGCTGATGGAAGTGCAAAGTCACATAAAATGTTGCTTGTGTTTAACAAAGATGGGCTACGAAAATTGAAGCCGCCCATTGTGTTACAGGAGTTTGTGAATCACGGGGCAGTTATTTTTAAGGTGTATGTGGTTGGTGATTATGTGAAATGTGTCAAGAGGAAGTCATTACCTGATGTGACGGAGGATAATTTAGGGAGACTAGAGAGTTACTTGTCGTTTTCGCAGGTTTCTAATTTGAATACTTGTGAAAAGAATGATGATAAATACTACAAATTGATGAATTTGGATGATGCAGAATTGCCCCCTTTGAGTTTTCTTACTGATATAGCTAGGGGACTTAGGCGGGCAACGAAATTGCATCTTTTTAACTTCGATGTGATTAGGGATAATAGAGTTGGAAATAGATATCTTGTCATTGATATTAACTATTTCCCTGGGTATGCAAAGATGCCGAATTATGAGAGTGTGTTAACTGACTTTTTCTGGGATGTATTGAATCGGAATGATAAGGGTATCGAGAGTTTAACAAAGGGTAATTGCAAAAAGGAAGTTAGGGTTTTGGTCGGGAATAACGGGTGTGGTGAGGACGAGGGAGCATTGCCTGTGTCACCTATTAAGATGGAAGATAACGAGGACCCTATTCTGGTTTAAAATGTGAAGTGCAGAAGTCAAACTGGTATAGCTTGTAGTTGGCCACTGGTTTCTATGAAGAATTTGCTGAAGTGTCGGATTTTTCTCTTGCAAGTTACAAAGGTTAAAGCAAGCTGAGGGTACTCACTTAGGTAGGAGTTGGTATAGCAGTGAATAAGTAGGTTCTTTGATCTGATATTGCCTTCTGAAGACATTAGATGGTAATCTTTGTTCAACATGTACATTCTATCTTTGCAGTGAGATAGGTACTTCCGCAGATACTCTTTCTCAGGAAAACTAAGTCTTTCCTTTAAGGCAATTGTAATTCCTGGATGAAAATATCTTAATTTGTGCTTTTGACTACTTTGATAAATGAATTTTTCTGTTTTTTTTTCAATGAGTATTCTCTTAAGTATTTTCCCCATAGTGCTGCTTTGACATGATGGTTTTCTTTGCCTATGACTTTTGCATTTTGAAATGACGTCACTTACTGGTTATGTAATTTATGCTTGCAAGAGGAATCAGATACCCGAGAAATTTATCTCTGTGGCATCGGCATGATGGATTCTTTATTTGATTGTCTATCGCATGGAAGCTATTATGAGATTGTCTCTACAGGAATATTCCTTTTCTGAACCTCAGTTCAAATCTTAATTTGGTAGCTTAAGACTAACATATGTTGAATATCAACTGACTGTATCTGTTTCTAATATGGTAAATAATTTTATTAATGTTGGGAAAATCAGCTGATTGTATCTTATGCAATATATCTTTGTCAGAGGCAGAATTAGTTCATCATGAACCTCAAAGAAACCCCTTTTTGCATGTTTTATATTCGCATAATGTGGGTAAACCATTAAATCTTAGAGCTAGATTCACCAATATGGCTCGAGATGCACTAATGTATCCGTTTATTTTTGTTTAGTTTTTATTACTCTCTTTTCCATTTGACCACTCCAGAGTAAATGCTGAATTTTCTTGCTGCACTAGGGTTGTTCCTGCACTTTTGCTATTTAACCCATATTATTGGGACCCGTCTGAAGAACATAAAACGATTAGTATTGGCCTTTTTTTTCTCTCAGATTTTGCTGCCAAGTTGTTTGTGTTTGGGAAACCCTTTGTCGTAGATTCAATAGATTGTTTTAGCTGGCGGGTTTCTTGAAGATTGATTAGTGAGCGCATGCATTACAATATTAGGATATTACATTTGCGTTGAGTTTATTCTTTTGTTGTACTGTTGTAAGACTGGCAAGGTTATGTAGTAAGTGCATATTGGGAATCTTACATCCAACATATCTACTAGGTGAAGTTCATAGTAATGTGGATGTTAAGTATACAAGATCAATGATTAGATCTAAAGCAAGTAGCACATATAGAAGATAAAATGGAGAGACCTATAAAAAATAAGATAAAATATTAGATGGTCTTTGAGATAGTTTGGTCATGACCTACATCGGCCTACCTTGACACCGGTGTAGGTGTAAAACCATTGTATTTGAAGTTGTTTAAAAGGGATAGTAGACCTAAAATTACATGGAAGGAAATTTTCTGAAAGATCTACAATCTCTTGAAATCCATATCTAGGTTGCAAAAAATATGGCATTATGGAAGAAAGGAGCCATATAGGTGATATCAATTAGTTGGGATGAAGGTTTAGCCATGTTGGTACATTACTTTAGGTCCAATATCTGAAATGAGTCTTTTAGTCTTCTAGATATTTGTATGCCGGTAGAGAATGTAGATAACTTCTAGTTCTAGAGAACTTAACTTTTTGAACATTGGCTTGAGATGGGTCTAATGTGAGGGACATGAACAATTAGAATTCTTATATAGTTGAGTGTGGTTGCTGTATTATGTATCAAGTTTTTAGTGTTTTAGATAAGAGTTCTTTTTTTTTTTAAATTTTTTTTATAGTGTTTTAGACGAGAGTTGCCACTTACAAATAGGCAATTTTTGTAAAGATATTGATTATGTGGGAACTCTCCAGATCATCACTATCTTGTGATTTGAGTTACAGTTACATCTTACCTGCATTGATATTTTTCCTTTCATGGACGAGGCTTGTTTTGGTTAATATTTTAGACTGAAAGCTTTGCCTTGTTTCAGAAAGTTGCATGAATTTCCTGCCGACTTGTTTATTTGAAGTTTTAGTCTGAGACATGATATTGTGGCTACATATGAGGATAAGGCCCCTAAAAAATCAGTGTGAATTATGATTTGTTAATTAGATATTTTAGGGCTTCAAAGTTTACAAACTAGTCAATGTGACATGCATTGTTTAGTGTGTTGGCATGATAAACTTATGGATAGTAATTATGATATAGATATTTGGCATGATTTACTTTTCTGCAGTTTTTTGGATAGTAAAATAAATGCTACTAGCAGTTTGATGTAGATTATGTGCATCTTTTTCATTTATCAGTATATTTTCATGTTTAGTCACAACTGCCCCAGGTTTGGATCGGTAAAACTTGGTTGACTTAAACACAGAGAGATGACAGCAGTTCACATGAGTTGCATGGATCAAATTGGCTGTAACCTGAGTGCTGACGATTAATCATGTGTAAGTACTAAGTACGAATGAATGTCTGCTATATCAGTTCCTTGATCTTCTCATTCCCTCATTCCAGTGTACCCTCACATATCCTCATGCATTGCATGCATCGCTGCTGTTTCACGATCTTGCACTGTGTAAAACTGATTTGTTTCGTTATGAACAGTTTTCCTGAAATACTGGTAACATTTAAAATTAAGAAGGTTATGTTCCTATATTGATGTAGTTTGGCCTGGAGGATTTGTTATTGAATATTTTGGTAAGTTGATATACTCCATCAAACAGAATAACAACTTGATTAGGTTACTGATGTTGTCCTGGGAAAATGATCAGCTTGGCCACAAAGAGTGAGGACAATTTTCCATGCCATATGTTTACTACTGGAAGGTTAAGTAGCAGGTGCTTGACTAAGGACCTATATGTGTACTGGTGTCGAAGTCCACCATTTTTTGTAATGTCATTTTTATAATTGCAAAACGACTCGTTGAAGGGTCAAATATTGCTTTAGTTAATAAAACTGATGCAGAACTTTTTAAGAACTTCAAATGTTGAACCTAACTTTGGTAATGCATTCGTCCTTTCAGTATTAGCAACATGTACCTTTAGTTGATAATCAGTTTTTTTCCTGGTCTAACTACTAGAATATATGTTTCCAAAGTTCAGGTTCTCCTTCTAGGATTAATTCTTTTAAAGTATACTAGCTAGTAGGATAGTGACAAAATACATGTCGTGAAGTAAAGAAAAGATAACAAGCGTGTTTTAAAGAGCTATGAGGAACAAAAGTGAAAATACTCTGAAGGTGTTATGGCAGAACATTTTAGGTTCAACTCAGTTTCTTGATTCCCATTGCTATCCTGCTTTTCTGCATTGTGCCTTACATTGCTGAAGTTCCAATTATTATTACATTGTTGAAGTTCCAGTTATGGTTATGGCGAGAATATGAAGCCAAAAGGGCACTGATCAAAGTAGGGGCATCCTATTATTGGTTGAGAGGTTGCCTTGAGCCGTAGTTGTAAAGAGTAGAAATGTACCAGAAAAGATTGGTTTTTCATTAACCTTCAAATCATGATGAAAAACAAGCAGATGCGAACTTTCACAAACCATTTAAATTAGCTTTCTAGTAAATTCTGAAGAATAAATTGTTACAGAGTTGCCTTGAGCCGTAGTTGTAAAGAGTAGAAATGTACCAGAAAAGATTGGTTTTTCATTAACCTTCAAATCATGATGAAAAACAAGCAGATGCGAACTTTCACAAACCATTTAAATTAGCTTTCTAGTAAATTCTGAAGAATAAATTGTTACAGAGTCCTGACTTTCCTGTTAGCTATCTTTTTCTGCATTCTTTGACATGTATCATTCTTGATGCCTGCACCTTATTTTGCCTACCAGAAAGCATGGGGATCTTGCAGTGTTGTTAAGGATTTGTATGTTGTCTACTGCTTTTCCTGCTGTGGAAGTGAACCAAATTGAACATATGTGTGTGCGCTATGCCCTAGTCGACTTAGTTTTTGCTGCATTACAGGATTAACTTGTGTTTGTGTTGGATATGAGTATTCCCTTGCCTAAATTGTTATCTTCATGGCCTTGTGCATTTCCACTTGTAGAAAGCAGTACGCGTAAGGGTGTGCAACAATTATCTGAAAACTCTGTTTGGGCACCAGTTGTTGGATATACTGAGCTAGCTAGCATTGGTCCCGAGCCCTGTGCCTGCCTGCATCTTTGATATAAAAGAAGTTAGAACCGAGGCATCCAACTCCGTCATGCCAACTTCTTCAGCCGATGGTTTCCTGAATCCCTTAGCGCTGCATTAATCCTTGGAAACCTACAGAATGCATATTTAGACGACTCAGTGATTTTATATTGTTTCCTGATGCTGAGTTCATGATTTAGGCGCGTCTTTTAGTACATTATCTGGATGATCTTCTTGGGAGTGCTCTTCTTGCTGCTTAACATGCCTTGGATTGGGATAATTATGTTAGCGTTCAGAACCATAGTGGACTTGTAAGTGTGAAGTGTTATAACAATCTGCTGGGGAAACTCGAGGAAAATAAAATGGCATACATTTCTCTTGATACACAATCGCTAGGTCATTTTTCCTTGCTCTCTCTCTCTCTCCCCGTCTCTCTCTCTCTCACACACACACTTCTTGAAATTTGAAGAAGCTAGGAAGTAAACCATTAGTTATTGATCTAAGATCGGATGTATAATGTACGTGTAGACATGTAAATTTATTCGATTCAAATTAAATAAGTAATTTGGATTATATTTTGCATATACTAGTCCAAACAAATTATGGGTTAATATAATTGGATTAATTATTTAAGTCCAATAAATATTAATTGGCTAGCCCATTTAATTGGGTTACAAGTGATGAGCCCACTTCATTAAACCCGAGATGTCATTTTTCTAGATGTCTAGTTTGGTGCCACATGTCAAATGACGTGGCACGCCAAGTCAAAGGAAAGAGCTAATAGGATCGTGCCACGTGTCAAAATGACAAGGCATGCCAAGTCAAATTAAAAGACCAATAAAATCGCGCCACGTGTGCAAGTGACATGTTCTGGCCAATCAAATGCGGCTTTGTCACACTTCAATTCGATTGATCGAAAAGAGTTTGTTCTTGTCATAACTTTTTTCTCCCACAACTATAAATAAGGGTCTTCGTAACCCATAAAAGACACCAGAAGTTATAACAAAAAGCAAGAAAGAGCTCGTGGATCAAACGCTGCAAATTCCTCCACAAGTTTCAAGCTTCAAAGAATCAAGTTCAAGTTCAAGAAATCAAGTTCAAGCTCAAGAACGAAGAACAAATCAACATTCAAGGAGTACGAACTCAAATCAAAGTTCGTGCTAGTTAAATTCAAGATCATCGTTCGCGGCAACAAATATAGATTCAAGATCAAGATCAAAGGCCCTTAAATTTATTTAATGTCGAAAAGAAGAATCAGAGAGATTGTATGTTACACCCCATGTTTTCGTACGTGAAAGTGCGCCATAAATAAATTGATGAAAGCTCGGAATTGAGATGTTACATCCCGCATTTTCGTACGTTAAAGTTTCGTCGTAAGTTAATCAACGTAAGTTCGGGAATGAGATTATTTTGAAATTATAAGCATTATGCTATTTCAAACAAGTGAAGAGTAAATTCGTGAAGGAGAGAGGGTAAGCAAATCGAAGAAAATGAGTTTCGTCGAAGTTTGGCAATTTGGGATAAAATACGGTCCAAGCTATAATATCCCGTATTTATGAAATAATGCCATACAAGGTACCACATGACCATGATAATAAAAATGTATGAAGTGTGTTAAAAGTAAGTAATATTTTAAGTAATTTGAGATAATTCTTAATGATGTGGATAACTGATTAGTGAATAAGTTAATTAAGAAATTTGTGGATAAGCTTAAATAAGTTATTGGATAAGCTTAATAAGCCAAAAACGTGGCAGGAACTCAAAGACATATTTGCTGACTCTTACTTGCATTGTTAGGTGGCATTTTAAGAGATATTTGGTGGCTAAAGTAAGCCTTATTAAGTAGGGCCACATCCATATATAAAAACAACTACCCAGTATAGTCCCACAAGGTGGGGTCTGGGGAGGGTAATACGTACACAGGCCTTACCCCTACCCGAAAGGGCAGAGAGGCTGTTTCCAATCGACCCTCGGCTCAGGAAAAGAAAAAGGAAAGTAAAAACAAAAAACAAAAAGCAAAAGAGCATTAGTAACTCCAGCAGAAATCACATAAATAATTATCTAAACATAAACCATAAATAAAATGGCATGCAAATATATCGACCAGTAACTACCATAAGGGGGCACAATACAATACACAGATCATCTATGGAGAGCCCTACCAAACCAAACCCCCCCCCCACGCCCTGGGACAGAAGTACGAAAAATTCTAGACGCCCCTATCCTGCAATCCTGATACTAGACCTCCAGACTTTCCTATCTAGGGCCATGTCCTCGGAAATCCGCATTCTAGCCATGTCCTGCCTAATCACCTCTCCCCAATACCTCTTGGGCCTCCCTCTGCCTCGACCCGCGCCAACCACCGCCAGCCGCTCACAACTCCTCACCGGAGCATCAGGGCTTCTCCTCCGCACATGCCCGTACCACCTGAGCCTCGCTTCCCGCATCTTCTCATCTACTGGGGCCACCCCCACCTTCTCCAGAATAACTTCATTCCTAATCCTATCTAACCTGGTGAGCCCGCACATCCACCTGAGCATCCTCATCTCCGCAACCTTCATTCTCTGGACATGGGAGTTCTTCACCGGCCATCACTCAGCCCCATACAACATGGCAGGTCAAATATAAGACATCTCAAATTTAAAATTCATGAATAAAGTAACGTGAGTCATTCTAATATGCATCTGCATATATCACATAAGCAATGAAGATCTTTAAAAATTCAAAGCAACGTGAGATTTTGCAATTCTAAGGGAATACGGTGCAATCTTTCTCAAGAATATCATACGGATTTTCCACTACTTCGATCCCCGCTACGTGTTGTCGCAATCAACGGGTGTTAAAGGGGATTGTCAAGAGAATCGGTTCAGGTATGTTAAGGCTAAGCCCTTCCTTCATTTTGGCATGATCTCGTAATTACACGTGTTTGATAACGAGGCACAAAGAGAAGTTCACACTCCCGAATTTATATACACTATCCTAGTCTCATAAGTTACAGCATTCTCCCTTATCGGGACTTTATATTCAATTGAGTATTATCTTCTTCCAGTCAAGAGAGCAGAGGGTGTGTGTGTGTGTGTGTGTATATGTATATATATATATATATATATATATATGTATATATATATATATATATATATATATATATAGTATCATAGTATTTTCACCACCATCGAGCTATAATCGGTGGGCAGGCCCCTATTGGGCAACCTCTGATCAGATGGTAAGTTATATACCGAGCTTACTTTGGCAGAGCGCCTACGAGCGAGCCCAGAATGGCCGAAATACAGAGCCTAGTATGCCTGAGCACCTATGAGCGAGCCTACTACGGCAGAGCAATTACACGTTCCGAGCCTTATAGGGCCGGACATTTATTTTACTTATTATATTGAGAGAGTTGAGTCAGTATCAGCAAGTAAGTATATCTTCGGATCATCTTTGACTCCCGGTTACTTTCAGTTGCCAGTTCAGTTTTTGCTTTCAGTTATTTTATTGCCTTACATACTCGGTACATTATTTCGTACCGACGTCCCTTTTTCTGAGGACGCTGCATTTCATGCGTGCAGATTCAGACAGACAGACGGGTAGACCTCGTCAGTAGGTGTTGCCCGAGTTCAGCTTGATCGGTAAACTCCACGTCCTTCGGAGTTGCCGAGTCTAGAGTTTTGTGTACATCTTGTGTATATATGTATATATGTTATGGGTAGGTCGGGGTCCTGTTCCGATCACAGTACATCCATCGGTAGAGGTTTGTAGACATATCCTGTAGTTAGTGCAGTATGTTGGGCTTATAGGCTTTGTATGTATATTTTGTTCGTTTGTCAGCTGTAGTAGTTATGACGGCCTTGTCGGCCCAACTTTATATTGAGGTTTGGTCGGTGTTGGGTTCCGTTCAGTTTTATATTTTGCTTCGCAAATTGTCTTGCAATGTGGCTCCAAGGCCAAAGTATGACATTATACGTTAAGAGTCCCTTAGTCGCAAGTTGGCACGCAAGGATAGGTGAGGCACCGGGTGCCCGTCATGGCCCTTCGGTTTGGGTCATTACAGAAGTGGTACTAGAGCAGTTCTGTCCTAGGGAGTCTACAAGCCGTGTCCAGTAGAGTCTTGTTTAAGAGTGTGTTGTGCACCACACTGATAAGCAGGAGGCTATAGGGCATTTAACACTGATAAGCAGGAGGCTATAGGGCATTTAGGACTGTCACTCTTTCTTCTTACTCTAGATCGTGTGATAGAGCTCAGTTGTAAGAACTCAATTTCCTAAACTCTATCTTATTCATAATACGATGATTCCTACATCCAGAAAAACGGTTGGTGAGAGTTATAGCTGTGGAAGAGTTGAGTCAGAAGAACTCGATTTTTGTATCATTCTTATGATGGATAAATATGAGGTATTCAGCAGATCATGTGTATACTAAGACATGTAAGCTTCTTGATAAGGATCCCTAAGGCAAGAATATCTATCCACTTTTATGGTAAAAAGGAATAAGAGATTCAGAAGATAAATACAAATTTCAGCAAGTAAAAGTAGCAAGGTAAGAATGGTACGAGGTACCCAATTAATGAAGATTGATAATAATTACAATTCAAACAGAGAAATATAAGCATTTTCAGTTACCTTCAATTGTAACAGAGGTATGTATAATTGGCCACACCCATCTCAGTTATGCCCTATGAGGGCTAACATGTGTAGTTTAAGAAAAGGACGGGATATCAGGATCCGGCTGGGGTTAGAGTAACCCAAAATGGTGAATGGATTGTTTGTGTTAGTTGACATTTCCGAAGGATATTACAAAGGTGCTAATAGATTTCCTTGTGAGACACCCAGATGGCACACTAGAATATTACAATTAGATGCGTATACTAGCATGATCAAAAAAATTCAGAAGATAGGCACTGAAAGCCTGGAAAGGATAACTATTACCTTAGTGTGACTCCCGTCCCTAGTAGAGCGAGAACGTTGAGCAACCCGAAGAGCCAATGAATGAAGCAAGGGGAGCTAAAAGAAAAAGAATGTCTTGTTGAAGTTTTCAAAAGAGAGGGATAGGCAGAAATATTAGCAGGGAAATAAGAAGAGAGATAAGGAAGAATTTTGAGCAAGATGTGATACATGGATGACAACAGTAGATAAAAAAGATGACAGTATTACAAAGTCTATAGTCAGGTGAAGGAAGAAACGAGAGGTGATAGGCCTTGAGACAACAATAGAGTATAAGCCATAAAGTCATATCCTCATTTTGAGAAATAAGTTCACGATTCTAACGCGATTACCAAAAGGAAAAGTTAGACCCCAGAGTAATAGAAATTAGTATGGACTGGTGAACAAGATAAACTAAACATTAATTAGGGACTGAGTGATTTGATAATAGTCGGCATCATGAGAATTTCAGAGACTGCCTTCCAACAATAATAGAA